AAGGAAGGAAGAAAAAGATGGTTTATCTGTCTTGTTCCCCTCTGTGTTTCCACCATGAGAAGCCATTAGACTCTATTATAGAGTGCAGGCTCCACACAAGGGCCTCATAGTGGGGATATCAGGTGTCCACTGACCTCAAACCAGAAGTCTGCCTCTTTGTGAAAGAAGTTGGATATGCCTTGTTAGTGTCCAACAAGGAGTGAACATTCTGCAATACAGTGGAATAAATTTCATAAGCCACTAACGTTAATACATACAGGGTGTGTGCACTTGGAAATTAAAATACAGTAATAGAGGCACACTTTCGAAAAGAGATGGTTAAAAATATAATTTTGCAAACATGTCTCATTGCTCTCTTTGCTCATTGCTTCTGGTTTCACTTCTATATACTGTGATCTGCATTTGCTATTTTTACTTAACAGTAGATCCTGGAGATTTCTCTATAGTGGTCTTTAAAGCCTGAACGCTAAGCACATTTTCTGCAGAAGCTGCCTAATTTATCCAGGGTAGCAAATACCAGCTGTATTAGACAAGAAATATGTTACTCCCCCAAGTCTAACACACCCGGTTGCATTGCTACATCCTCTCTCTTGCTGCAACAAAGGAAATGTCCCTTCTTCTGTCAAAGGCCATGCCTTCCTTCAGAGGAAGGAAAATGTGTGCGGGCTCCCAATCCCCTCCGGCCGTCTCAGAGAGATGGTGGTCCCCCAGGTATCCCATCTCTCTCCTGTATCTTCAGCCTGTCTTTTCGAGCAAAACACCAACGATATTTAATCTCCCCTAGCTTAAAAAAAAAAATGCAACTGTCCTCTAACCCTAAAGTTTCATCCAGCTGTTCTCTTTCTTCCCGTTCACAGCAAGGTTTCCTGATAGGGAAATCACTCTCTCCATTACCTCACCTTCCACCCACTTCTTAACCCACATCCTTGTAGCTTCCACCCCAGTACTCCATTGAGACTGCTCCAGCAAGAGTACCTGTGTCCTTAAAGCCACTAACTTCAACAGATAGTTTTCAGGCCCATCTTTTCGGACCTCTTAATAACCATGAGCAGAGCAGATGATTTCTTTTTTGGAGACAGAATCTCACTCTGTCACCCCATCTGGAGTAAAGTGGCACGATCTCGGCTCACTACAACCTCTGCCTCCTGGGTTCAAGTGATTCTCCGGCCTCAGCCTCCTGAGTAGCTGGGATTACAGGCACGCACCACCACACCCAGCTAATTTTTGTATTTTTAGTAGAGACCGGGTTTCGCCTTCTTGGCCAGACTGGACTCAAACTCCTGACCTCAGGTGACCCACCTGCCTTGGCCTCCCAAACTGCTGAGATTACAGGTGTAAGCCACAGCACCCACCTTGATTTCTTTTTCCTTCTTTTTTTTTTCTTTTTTTTGAGGCAAAGTCTCGCTCTGTTGCCCAGGCTAGAGTGCAGTGGCGCAATCTCCGCTCGCTGCAACCTCCACCTCCCAGGTTCAAGTGATTCTTGTGACTCAGCCTTCCAAGTAGCTAGGATTACAGGGGCCCGCCACCATGCCCGGCTAAGTTTTACAGTTTTAGTAGAGACGGGGTTTCGCCATTTTGGCCATGCTGGTCTCAAACTCCTGACCTCAGGTGATCCACCTGAGGCTTCTTAAAGTGCTGGGATTACAGGCGTGAGCCACTGTGCCAGCCGATTTCTTTAAATAATATTTCCTCTTCCATCAGTTCCTTTCCTTCTTTTTTGTAAATACCTGCCAGGCTGCTCTCTGGAGCCCAGTACAACCTTCTAAATATATAGTCTCTATCTGCTAAAAACTTTTCAGGGTTCCCGTTATACTTAAGTCAAAATCCTTGCAGACCTGCAAGGGTCTTCATTTTTTCATAATCTAGCCTAGAGGTGGAGAGGTAGATCCATGCCTATCTCTCTGGGTTTCAGAAACCCTGCTTTCAGTTCCTAGAATATACTACCTTCCCTTTCGGACTTTGCAAAAATAGCTCATTCTGCCAGGAATGCTCTTCCTCCCCATTACCTTTTCTGCTGTTTAACTGGTCCAACCACGAAAGCCGCTTTCTCAAAAGGACCTCTCTTAACAGCGTTTCCCAACAACCAGCGGCTTCCTCATCGCACTTTTGGCAGTTATGATATGATTGGCTTCTTGAGGGCTAGAATCTTGCCCATCTTGCTCCCAAATTGCTCGATACATATAGAACAAACGGATATGCATTTATCCCCCCTTACTCGGAACACACACTTCCCGCCCTGCAGGGTACGTGCCCAAGCCTTGTCCCGGATTCTCTCACCGCCTTTGCGGTGCGAGAGACCCGCTCTACACCCGGGTGGACCCTCCGGGGCTGAGAGGGGTGGAACTAACCAGATGTGAATTCTGCACCTTCTCAGTCCCAAAGACCCAAGCCTCGACCGGGCGCGGTGGCTCACACCTGTAATCCCAGCATTCTGGGAGGCTGAGGCGGGTGGATCACCTGAGGTCAGGAGTTCGACCAGCATGGCCAAAATGGCGAAATCCCGTCTCTACTCAAAATACAAAAATTAGGTGGGCGTAGTGGCGCGCACCTGTAATCCCAGCTACTCAGGAGGCTGAGGCAGGAGACTCGCTCGAACCCAAGAGGCGGAAGTTGCAGTGAGCAGAGATGACGCCACTGCACTCCAGCCTGGGCGACAGTGCAAGACTCTGTCTCAAAAACAAAACAAAAAACCCCCCCACAAAAACCAGAAACAACAAAGGTGCTTTCAACTTACCCTCCGAAAGCGCCGCCACCTTTCTTTCAACCCGGAAGTGCTGTTGTAGAGGAAGCGGAAGTAGTCTTGCGTCATCTTCCGGCCCACTTGGCGTCGTGCTGCCATGGTAACACGGCTGCTGCTAGGTCCTGAACGCGCGCGGTTGCCTACCCATTTTCTTTATGGGGCCTTTAGAGGTCAGGTTGAGCAGAGAATACTCCTAAAACGAAGAAAGTAGGACAGAATCCCTCCACTGACGTACTAATGCATGCATGCATTCCATTTATTTCAGTTTTTGGTGAACTCCAGGAGCAACTTGGGAAGACAGATGACAAATCAACTAAGATAATTTCAGATTATCTTGTAAGGAAAATAAAATAGGGTAACCTGATGGAGAGTGACTAGGGAGTGGGTGCTACTTTAGATGTAAGGGAGGGCTCACTGACGAGTGACATTTGAGCTGAGTTCTAAATGAAACGTGCAGGAAAAAATCTAGGCAGAAGAGTGTTCCAGGCTGGAAGTGAGTGCAAAGGTCCTGAACTTGGTTGCTGGAGGACCTAGGAGAAGGCCGTAGCAGCTGGAGCACAGTGAATGCAGGGAAGAGTGGTGGGAAATGAAGTCAGAGGTCTGCAAGGGCTAGCCGGTGCAGAGTCTGATGGATGTTAAGCTTGGATGAAGTCTCAGAAGGCTAGAGCTAGCAAGAGTTTTGGAGATCTAACCCAGTCTTCCCATTTCAACAGAGTCCTGAAGAGACTTAGCTGAAGGGGAAGCTTTAACCTGGCTGTCAATTCGAGGCCATTATATTTACCAACCAAACGTTTAATCTTTTTGGATGGTGAACATGTATGATATAGGCAACAAGTTTTCTCACTTAATCCCTGTAGGTATCTATGAGGTATTATTAGCCCCACCTTGTAGATGAGAAACCTGGGTTTACAGTAACTTGTCCAAGGTGACTTACATGGGCCAGCCAGAAATCAGACCTGTGCTCTTTCTACTACTCCATTATCTTGCCCCTTACTGTTCTATCTGACTTCTATGTGATCTACCAAGTGACTTTGATTAAAAAATGCACAACCGGCCAGGTGCGGTGGCTCACACCTGTAATTCCAGCACTATGGGAGGCCAAGGCGGGTGAATCATGAGGTCAGGAGATTGACACCATCCTGGGCAACATAGTGAAACCCCGTCTCTACTAAAAATACAAAAATTAGCTGGGCATGGTGGCACATGCCTGTAGTCCCAGCTACTTGGGATGCCAAGGCAGGAGAATTGTTTGAACCAGGGAATCAGAGGTTGTAGTGAGCCGAAATTGTGGCATTGCACTCTACCCTGGCGACAGAGTGAGACTCTGTCTCAAGCAGGCTGGAGAAACGATGAGCATATGTATGCACTCGTGTTGCCATGCAAAGGCTGCTCCGGGACATGGATGTGCAGTTCGAATTCTGTCTGCAGAAGTCTGTAAATGTGGTGTTGTCCACTGTTGATATGTAAGGCCTTGAAGTCCAGGTTTGTCATTGGTGTCACTTGTTCTGTGGCGAACCCACTTACCTAGAGCCTTGTGGTGTTAGTGGTGCATGAATGAACCCACAAAAGGCTGGCACTAGAGAAGAGATTAGAGATCATTCAGGTTAGTGGTTTCCAATCCTCCTCCAACGGCACCAATCACCTGGGAAGTTTTTTTTTAATGCAGATTTTCAACTTTGCAATGCATTTTATATTAAACACTATTGTATCACATTAAAATCTTCGGACATGATAATGACCTTGTAGTTATACATGGGAATGTCCCTGCTACGTGATGAAGTACCTAGGGTTAAATATAATGTTGACATATTTTCAAGCGATTCTGTAATGTGCGCATGTGCATGCTCACACAGTCACAGAGAGAGAGAGGGAGCAAGAAAATGTGGCTGGTGCTGGGGACTCGTGAATCTGTCATCCAAACTACACCACTTTGTAAGCCCCCTGCCATTGTGCAGAACTTGGTTAAAATGAAACATTCCACAGGGGTTCAGGCCATGAGAAACAGCCTGCCTTTTATCATATTCTGCTGGGAGAAAATGCCAGGAACATCACATTCTGCCGGAACAATGGCCAAACTGCCTCATCATGGGAATACCTTATCAACATCTTCCAGGGCAGCAGGCCATACCCCCCATGCCCCTCCCCACCCAGGCCTATAATCGCCCCAGCCTGTAAGCAGCGGTGGGCACTGGCATTAAGCTGGTCTCTCACCTTTTCAGGTCTTATGCTGGACAGAAAGCCAGTATTTGCTGCAGAGCCGCCTCTCTCTCTCTCTCTCTCTCTCTCTCTCTCTCTCTCGTGTGTGTGTGTGTGTGTGTCTTTCTTTAACCTTCGCCTTCCCTTCAATACCTAACAGAATCTAGGTGAAGCCTATGTGGATTTTCACTGTATTCTTCTTTTGACTTTAAACTTTTCTGTAGGTTTGAACTTTTTCAAAAAGTTGGGGGTGGGTGGGTAAGGGCATTTTTAAAAATGCAGTATCTGGCCTGGTGAGGTGGCTCATGTCATCATCAGAGCAAGACTCCATCTCTTAAAAAAAAAAAAAAAAAGAGGTGAGCCTCAGATGCCATTTTCGGATTTCTGATTCAGTGACTCTGGGGTGAATCCTGTGAATCTTCGTTTTTCCTTTTTTGGCACATGGTCTCATTCTGTCATCCAGACTGGAGTGCAGTTGCCCAAACACGGCTCACTGTAGTCTCAACCTCTTCAAGCGATCCTCCTGCCTCAGCCTCCCTCATAGCTGGGCCTCCAGGTGTGTGCCACTACACCTGGCTAATTTTTAAAATTGTTGGTAGGGATGAGACCTCGCCATGTTGCCCAGGCTGGTCTCAAACTCCTGGGCTCAGGCCATCCTCTCTCCTAGGCTTCCCAAAGCAATGGGATTACACGGGTGAACCACCGAGCCCAGCCCAAATCTATACTGTTCAATTTCCCTTCATTCTGTTGCTTAGATTTGGGAACCATTGATCTAATCCTACTCTAGACTTTCCTTCTCACCCATCTCACAGGAAGAAGAAGAAAACAGCCCTTAGGATCCAAGAAGGTGACTCGCTTGAGTCCACCCGGTGGGTCGACATCAGCATCAGGGTTGGAATGCGTTTTGTGCTGTCTCAGGTGTGTGGGGGGCGCAGGGAGCAGAGGTGGGGACAGGTTGTGAGTAGAATGGGGGTGGGCGGAGGATGGAGTCTTTGACTTGGAAGGCAAGTGTAAATGACCCTCTAGGGCCACGCCGCTTTGAACAGAGCCCACTGGAGATTCTCGGTTCTCCTATATCGATTCAGGAAAACTCCAAGAAAGTCCACACTGGTAGCCACCGAGAGTTTCTTGAAGGAAAAGGACAAGCAGAACCAGGCACTGTTGGCGTCCCGTCGCCAAGGAGACGGGCCGTTGCAATCGTCCTCCAGGGGTGGCCTTGATTTCCTTTCCTCTCCCAGTTCGCAGCACGAAGCCCAGGAGACGCCCTGAGGATCCCGTGGGGCTTCCACAGTGATTGAGGGCTGCTTGCAACGAGGGGCCGGCGCGGGGGTGGCGCACCCGGATCCGGAGAGGTCCCGGCATCCGAGTCCCCCCCCCAGGGTCCCGGTGGTGCGGCCCGGGTCGAGAGGCCGGAACCTTGGAGCTCCCGGCTGGCCCCGGCGTGGGGAAGTGCGCCTGACCCAACCTTCGGGCCGGCTCCCCGGAGACCCCAGGGATGCCAGAGGCCAGGAGCTTCCGCCAGGACCTCACGCGATGGAAGAAGCAGCAGCAGCCTGTGCGCCGCACGGTCAGCCAGATCTGCCCGCCCCCGCGGCGGCCCCTGACCGTGGCCGACATCCGTCCCGGCATGGAGAACGAGCGGCTGGGGGTCGTGCGGGACTCCATGTTTCAGAACCCACTCATCGTCAAGGTGAGCACCCCACGCTCACCTCGCTTTCGCGCTCGCCGGCTCAGGGCACCCGCGCCGCTGGGGGTCCCCACCCTCCGCGCCCTGGCCCCGCGGCCCCGGGTCCGAGCGCAGGTCGGGAAGCTCCAGCTCTGGTACAGACAGGCCTGGACCCCCGTGCCGGTCGCGTCGCTTCTCTGAGCCTCGGTTTCCCCATCCTCAAAGTGGGATGATAATGGCATCACCAAAGGGACTGATTGGGAAGATTGAATAGGGTAATTTTGTGGGACCCCAGGACAGCGCCTGACATGGGGTAAGGCTGCAATGGGGGGCTGCTGTGGTTTCCCACAGAGTGACAGGTCGCATACGCCCAGCCTAAGTCCTGGCTGCCAGCCCTCCCAGGCTAAAGGCCGCCTCTCCGGTTCCCCTGCAAGCCTGGGCAACATCTGCAGAGCGGGGGCTCCGAGTCTGTCCGGAAGTATCACGTCTTAAGTTCGTTTCCGTCCAATCACACTCATTCTTACCCAAAGCGCAAGCCTCGGGGCGAATTTATCTTTCGCCACTGGAGGGCAGTGAGCCTTTAAAAATGCGCTCCGCGTCCCAGGTGCGGGAGTGGAAGGCGCAGGTGGTAGCGGTGGGTTCAGCAACAATTATTTGTGTGACCGCCAGGCGCTGGGTAGAGCTCAGAGGTGGTGGCGGCGGTTTGTTTTTGTTTTGGAGAAAAGGGAACCCTTGCTAGAATTAACTGAGTTAATTGGTTCCTGGCAACATTGACTTCCTCCTCTTGCCTTCCCTGAACTCTGTCCCGCAGAGGAGGGCTGACTTACCGCACTCGTGCCTTTCCATCGAATAGGCCCCTTTCTCAGCCCCTCCTCTCCCAAAGTGGAACAAGGTCCTTCACTTACTTCTAGGTGAGAAGAGCCACTCTCCGTGGACAGGCAGGACCGGCAGGGGGGGCTCACTATCCTGGGATCAAGGAGGGAATCACGTCCGCCACCTCTGACTACCTGCGTTAAGGTTATGTCGTTGCTTTTGTTCAAGTAGTTAGTAGTGAGCCAATTTCTTCCTACTGAAGTGTCAAGTGAGGGCGTATGGGGTTATTCTCCATGGTGAATTAGGGTGCGGTGCCCACCTGACCGATGTGTACATACACAAACACACATGCATATATGCATTTGTGTATG